ATCTCCAGTGCAGCCCAGGAAGGGCTCCTGATGTTTCGTTTAGCCGAGGAAGGGCTCCTGATGTTTCGTTTAGCCCAGGAAGGGCTCCTGATCCCCAGTCCAGCCCAAGAAGGGCTCCTGATGTTTCGTTTAGCCCAGGATGGGCTCCTGATCCCCAGTTCAGCCCAGGATGGGCTCCTGATCCCCAGTTCCGCCCAGGAAGGGCTCCAGCCCAAGAACTCTCTCCAGTGCCCCCTCCTCAAAAATGCCTGCCCTCCCACCCACTCCAGCCTCCTCCACCGCTGTCAGCTGGCAGCCCCTCTGCTCGCCCTCAGCCCACCATCATTGCGGTGCGAGCCCTCCCGCCAGCTCCACCTTGGTCCTCAGTCGCTTCGGCTCCGCCGCGGATCTCTGGATCTCCGCCTCCGCCTCGGTCGCCAGAGCCCTCGGCTCCACCCTGGCCCCTCGGATCCTCGGCATCCCCCTGGCTCGTTGACTCTCCGTCTCCGCCTCGGGCTCCTATCCCTCCTATAGTCGGCAGCTATACCTCCTCCATGGCTCCTCCCACCGTCGGCTCCACCGTGGGCCGCTGTTATGGCTGTGGCCTGGGTCCTGCTGAGCTCCTCCTGCTCCGGGTCCCTCCTGTCTCCTCCCTGGCTCCTCCCTCCTTCGTCGCCCCCCTGGTCTCTGGCTGCCGGCCTCCTACCGGATATCCGTCCTCCGCCGGGGCCTCCACCTGTCATGTCTGCCTGCAAGCCCTTTGCCTTCCCCTGTCTCCATCCCACATCCACTCCTTTGTCCTCCTCCTAAGTCCCCCTCCGTCCCTCCCTCTGTCTCCACGGCGCAAGGATGCGCCTTCCGGGAGGGGGGCGATCTGTCACACCCCTATGGACGGTTGATTGTGGTTTCTCCTTCTGTGTCCTTATTTGGTTGTTCCTGTTCTAATCATTAGTTAATTATCCTCATTGTGCTCACCTGTCTGCCCCTCGTTATCTGCCCTATATCTGTTCCTGTCTCTTGTAGTCTAGTTTGTCGGTTATTGTGAATGTTACCCTGTGTGTTGATGTCTACCCTGTCTGGATCTCCTGTTGTCATATCATTAAATATCCGTTTATTCGTCATCTTCGTCTTCCTGCCTGATCGCTTGAACACCCTGCCCGTGACATAGACACACCTGGAACACATTGGAAACAATTAGTACAGGATCAGGAAGGACCAAACATGGGCATGGAAACACAAAAGATGGAACAGAGTCTGACATTTACTGATTTTGCTGTATTTTTGATCAAATAAATTCAGCCTGGGTGACCATAAAATATTACTTTCAAAACATTAATATAGTGGAAATTTCATGTACAAATGTAATTTTTCTCTGTACTATATTATGGGCTCCTTTCAGAGGAACCTATTCTTTCCTGGAACAAATTATTCTTGTAAACAGGGGTGTCTTTGGTCTGAGTATATCAGTGAACGTCAACAGTTGTGCTAAACCACTAGCAGTAACCAGTGCTAGTTTTATCTTCGAATGTGCTGAAGAACAGACTGACCATCTTTGAATGCCTGAAATGTACAGCACTGTCATTAGCACTGTTACAAGAGCCTACTTCAATACTCAATATCACTATCAAGCTACAGAAACCATATAAACACGCATCTCACTTCCAGTAGTTTGAAATGTTGATTTAGGTCTTAGGCTAACATTACATGTTTAGTTTGGCAAACACAAAGTTATTTGCTATTATTAAGCTATTATTACATATTATTTAGCTGACAATGAACAATTGTTATGGGGTTCTCATTTGGCTGCTTTTTTATTGTGAGTGTATGTCCTATTGCCCTAACTTTTAAAGCTGAAGACAAAACAATTAAAGAATGATATTTGGTATTGATTATAATACAGTCATGTGAAAAATAAAGGGCACTCTATTGAATTCCATGGTTTTCCATTAGAATTAATTAAAATGTGGAAAATAAAACCTCAGATCAACAACACATGACATATCACACCATGTCATTATTTATTTAACAAAAACTAGGCCAAAATGGAAAAGCCATGGGTAACAAACTAAGGACACCCTTCTCTGTTAACAGAGGGTAAGTAATGGTCAGGCACTGCTAATCAAAGACCTTTGATCAGCCAATTGTGAGCACCTCTATAAAAGCAGAAATTTTGGCAGTTTGCTGGTCTGGAGCCTTTAGGTGTGTGTTAACACAATGCCAAAGAGGAAAGAAATCGGCAATGATCGTAGAGAAGCAATTGTTGCTGCCATCAATCTTGGAAGGGTAATACAGTCATTTCCAAACAATCTGAAGTCCATCATTCCACAGTGAGGAAGATTATTCACAAGTGGAAGACATTCAAGACAGACACCGATCTTCCCAGGAGTGGATGTCCCAGGAAATTCACCCCATGGTCAGACCGTACGATACTCTGAGAAATTGCAGACAACCCAAGAACTACACCTCAGACTCTACAGGCCTCAGTCAACATATTAAATGATAATGTTTGTGACAGTACAATTAGAAAAACACCAGACTAGTATGGCATGTTTGGAAGGGTTGCCAGAAGAAAGCCTCTTCTCTAAAAAGAACATGGCAGGATAGCTTAGGTTTGCAAAGTTGCTTCTGAACAAACCATAAGACATCTAGAATAATGTCCTTTGAACAGACGAGACCAAAGTGGAGATGTTTGGCCAAAATGCACAGCGCCACGTTTGGTGAAAGCCAAAAGAGCATATCAGCACAAACAACTCATATCAAAAGTCAATGCTGGTGGAGGGGTGATGATTTTGGGCTTGTTTTGTAGCCACAGGACCTGGGCACCTCACAGTCATTGAGTCGACCATGAACTCCTCTCTATACACAAGCCTTAATAAATTGGAGCAGCGTTGTAAAGAAGAGTGGGACACAATTCCTCCAGAATGATGCGAGAGACTGATAAAGTCATACAGAAAATTATTACTTCAAGTTATTGCTGCTAAAAGTGGCTCTACAAGCAACTGAATCATAGGGTGTCCTTAGTTTGTCACCCATGGCTTTTCCATATTGGCTTTATTTTTGCTAAATAAATAATGACATGGTGTGATATGTCGTGTTGTTGTTCATCTGAGGTTTTAATTTTTTACATTTTAAGCCCTGCTAAGGACCAGAGGATTTTATATTTTGTCCTGAACCCTATTGAATTAAATTGTCCTTTTTTTCACATGAATGTAGGTAGTAATTATGAATAGTGATGGTACAGTTTAGTTTGTATGCATTTTTTCTATACTAGAAAAATATACAGTTTCCAGAAAATACTACTTATTTAGCCATATGAGCTGAAAGGCTTGCACAGCAAAACTACATTTCTCATCATTTTCTGTGGCAGAATGGACCAAAAAAAAAAAAAACATAAACCATTCTTAGCGATTGACTTATTCTGACCAGTCACTTGAATGCATATCATAATCATGATATATAATAATATGATATGCTTTCAAACTTGTAGGAACTGTCTTTGAAGACTTGAAGGCAGCATTAGCGGATTTATTATATTTCCTAATACAAATATTCCAAATAATCTGTATGTCCATGCTACTGACAGTGGATATAATAAAGAGGCAGCAGAGAGCTTCAGTTTCTTTTCCCAAGCCTGCCGGCAAGATTTTGACCTGAGGAAAGACAGAAAGTGAGACACAATGAGAAATATGAACCATACTCTACATTACATGCGTAGGCCAATCAATACACAATAAAAATATCTCTCTAATTGAAAAGGTCAAGAATACTCGTGACCCTCAAGATTGCTAGCGCCAACTTTCTTAACATAAAGGAAACAGATACGCCTGTGATAAGTATTCTTTCCTTTTGGCTCGCATTTACAATGAAGGGCTGTCAGTTCATCATATTTATTAAAGGGGTCATATGATGTTGCTAAAAAGAACATTATTTTGTGTATTTGGTGTAATGAAATGTGTTTATGCGGTTTAAGGTTAAAAAAACA